GTAGGTTAATGTAATTGTGTTTTCCTTAATGTAGTTGCGCTTTTAGATTTGTAGTTGCAGTTTGCACTTCAGGGCCACCGTATGTTTGGCCTTAAAATAAGATATTTAGATATAATGCACGTTGAATAAGCAGCTGGAGGAGGTGTGTGTGGACTGGGAAGTCTGGGCATCTCTGCTTAGACTGCTGCCTCTGCGACCCGTTCCCCCATAAAGCAGAAGAAAATGGATGGATGGAATAAGAGACCTCTGTTGTTTTTTTCCTATTTTAAATGTAAATTGTCTTGTCCTATTGGCAATGTGTGTCACCTACCTCCATAATTCAAGATAAAAGGCACTAATTTTAAGAAAAAAATGACTGAGATTTTAATTTTTTGCAGCGTTTGCTGTCTCTCCCCTGTGCAGTCCTTCCTCTCCATAAATCAGTTCTGCCAGGAAGCATGGGCCAAACTTCCAGTGAACAGTTGGGAAAATTTGACCCAGTTCAAAGAGAAGTTATGCTAAATTTCTTGAAAATGTTGGAGATAATTTTTCAGCAATGATGTTAATCCTGACTGAGATAAAACAGCAGAGCTTTGGTCTGACTTGGTGTCAGACAGCGAGCTTAGAAATGTTCTTTATGCAGCTGTATGTTCTCTGCTGATGGGCTGGAAGGTCATTCCACTGCCAAAACCACCTAGAAATAAGTAAAAATGTCTTAAATTAAGTGTATTTACCCTTATTTTTAATAGGTTAATAAAATGATCTGCGAGTGGAGTTTTCTGACTTTTAATGTAAATTGTCTTTTTCCAGTGGCAAAGCCTCTCACTTATCTCCTCAATTCAAGAAAAAAAATGTTACTTAGATTAGATTTCTGTCTGTGTTTTATGCCATTTAGTGATATTTCATAGTAAATCCTGAGTTGTGGTCGGCTGATGTGAGGAACTGCTCTGGCGCTTGGATCATAACATACAAATGACTGTCCAGGTTCTGGACCTGAGCCATGACGTCAGAGCCATCAAGTCTCTGACCGGAGACAACGGGGAGAACTTCAACCGCATCGTGATGGAGGTGGAGCTGCTGGGGCAGGACTGTGAGCTCTGTGGGAAGGTGGAGGAGGAGCTGCGAAGGCTGAGGAACGAGTCCCAAGACCTGAGCAGGATCCAGGAGGATCTGCAGAACATGCAGAACCAGATCCGCTCCATCCAGACCAGACTGGACTCGGAAGGAGGTGGCTGCGACCGGACCTGCTCGCTGCTGCAGGACGAGGTTCGTGTGCTGCGAGCCGAAGTGAAAAGGTGCAGCGAGCGATGCGGGACGGGTTCTGATAGCTTCACAGGTCAGATCCAGCTTCACCCTTTTACCTCTTCTGTCATCATCTCCCAAGTTCTGTTTCAGGTTCTACAGGGAACCAAAACGCACGGAGCANGGAGGTGTCAACGGAACACATGGAGAAGCAGGAGGAGATGGAGGTAAAAGAGGAGAATTACCCAAAGAGAGAGAAACTATGACCAAGAAATCTCTGGAGTGGAGAGTTATCGCCAACGAGGGTCAGATTCGACACTTCAACACTCGGCTGAAGGACCTGTCGGTGTCTGGAGACTCTCTGCACGATAGGGTGAGTTCAGACCACCTCTGCCTGTGTCTTAGAAATAGGACTGAAACCCGGTACCTACGCATTTTTTTCTGAAATTACATTAAATTTAAACGTAGGTCAGAAGTTTCCTGTTTAGGACAACTTCTCTGGTTTTAGACCAAAAAGGATTCAGCTCCTTACATTCACAGCTGATGCAGCTAATAGCAGGTTATTCCAGGACATTAGCATTAAATGGAAGCTTGGAGGCACCTCTAGATTAAATCCTGATTAGGTTAGGCTCAGGTCTGTTTGGTTGCCTAACAACAGACGTCTTTAGAGCAAAGTTCTGAGTCACATGACTCATTCTGGCCATCATCTAGTTTAAACATCAGAAAAACAGTAACTGTGAAACGTGAGGATAATCTGTCATGAAATCCTGCTATTGAAAGCTAATTCCACTTTGTAGTCTCCTTTTATTTGTGCATCCATAGCGGAATAAAAGTCAGGCATCCTGAGAATTAGCTCTGGAAGTTTGCTAAGTGTCAATACAAAATAAAAAAATCAGATCAATCAGTTGGTCCCATGTAACCTGTGAAACATTCTCGTCAGTCTGCCGATTTATTTGGAAATCCGTTGAGAGTTCACTGGATTGAGAGCGCCTAAAGTCATAGAATAGGGTTAGCATCCATTGATGTGTATTGTCTCTGACAGAAGATGGACGTTGTGTTGGTACGCCTCTCACCCAACAATGTGGGTTCTATCTATGTCTATCGTAGCCACAGCTGACTCGGGGCACACTGACCCTCAGGCTCCAGCAGACCCTCTGATCACCATCAGCAGGCAGTAAAGGCCGCCACTAGAAGAGACTGTTGAAGTTCCTAAGGCTTCTCTGTAAAAAAAACAACAAAAAACCCCCACAAAATTTCAAGAAAACACATGTTTTTCTTGAAATCTGAAACACATGTTCAAAAACCTTCTAGAAAATAGAAGAATGAATATCATCAGGGCATCAAGGCTTAAAAATGTAAAAACCAGAACATGTAGGTACATGATGTACAGGATGATAAACTGAGATAGAATCCAGGACATGCACTGCAAAAATGACATTAAGATTAGTCAAAAAATTCTATAGATAAGTGTATTTACCCTTAATTTGAGTAAATACACCTCAATATGAGATGACCTGCCAATGGAATGGGTATGTCTGTACGGTGGCCCTCAAGTGCAAACTGCAACTACAAATCTAAAAGCACAA